TTAGCAGCAGGTGGAGACAGCTAGTACAATCACTTAAGTCAATAACCCACTACCTGTTGAATATGCAAAAATCCCGAATGAATTTTCTGTTAAAACGGGGGAGATACATTATCATTTTCCAAGTACTCCCTCCTAGCCRCCGCGCAGCCCCTGCAGCATATACCAAGCAGGCTGTTCCCCAGATGGAAATTMTGTCGTGCCCAATCAGTCCAGACCGGCTTGAAACCCCCATTTCAAGCMTTCATTCGCCTATTTTCGTTGAGAGATGACCGAGATCTGCCTTCTTCCACGCGGCCATACCCAACACCCCGTCACCTCCGCACATTTTTCCTCTTCTCTTCCTCCCCTTCCACTAGCCCTTTCCTCAATCTAACAGCCCCACCTGGTTCGCCCTGCCTCAAACCCCCAGGCTACCACTCTCCCCCATCCAATTTCGTTAGAAAACGAACACGCTGTAGTTTTTCTTCTCTGCCATAGCTTCTAGTCTCAATGCTATCTTCTCCCTCCTTCTTCGACTGTACCTGGCACGGGACTGCAGTCAGGTTCACTCCACTCCTTTCCCGCTGTTTCCGCTGCTGCCCTTTATGAGATGCTGCGCTCTCCTGCACTACCTCTTCTCCTTTCCTACGTTACCTCCTTCCCACTAGTCTGCGCTGCCTCACCTCCCCGGCCAGCACTCTCCAACACAAAGAGAGAGGTCACCCCCTCTACTTATACGAGTCACGCTCGTGCCAAGCCATGTTAATCTTCTCCGTATCGTTCTAATTGTGCAGACGTCCCAAAGGACTACGGCCCCGAAAGCAGCGCCCCGGTCGCCTACGCTGTCTCCATAGAACTAGGCAGACGGGTCTCACTGCAGATCCCGGCCCCAGTGCCGGGTTTCACCCAAATAAAAAAAAAGGTAGATAAAAAAAAAAAAAGGGAATAATAAAACTTTGAAACTCAGAAAAATAAGAAATAAAAATTTGAACAAGAAAAACGGGCAGGGCAGGGGGACCGTCCGTACCTGGTCCTACCTCACGGGCCCGCTGCTGGACTCCCCCAACAAAACCAAAGGGGACAGTCCCATGCGATCCTCAACCCCTCAATTCGCTCCTGTATCGCTCCGCTGCTCCGCTCTGGCCTCGATCCTGGGATCCGCCTAGTGATAGTTCAACGACATAACCTATAGGGCTAAGCCCCAACCTGGTAGCAATAGGCTCAGCCCCCCTCATAAAGAGTAAGGGCAGCCTGTCCAGGCCTGCAAACAGTATCTCAGGCCGTTCCTCTTACTTACCGCTTGCGTCCAAGGACCCGCAGGCACCCAAGCCTTACTTTGGGCGGCACGGCTTCGCTAGGCTTGTTGCGCGTGTTGCCGCATCATGCTGCGGCTATGGCCGGGCTCTCCCACTCCCTAATATTCGTCGAGAAACTGTCCGTCCTACTACCTTTGGGCTAAAAGACGCCCTAACTTCTACTCACTCCGCCCCGGCCCACGCCGTCCTAGCTAAAGCACGCCATGGCTTCTGCTGCCGGCGGCGCATGATCAACCTAGCGCCCGCGACATTTCACGTGGTGCGACCCAAGACCGTCGGTTCCTCATGAGTCAGACAACGCTTTCCTCTCCGTCACCGCCTTATCTGGTCAATCTTTATGTCGTCCGACACTCCGACCGTGCGTGTGAGTCTGCGACCGCCTAAAAAAATCTAGCTTAGCTCTGACCTGTCCTACCAGCGTCTCATGGTCCTCCTCGACCCAGACTTGGTCAGGCTAACGCGTGCCCACGAAGTGCACGCCCACACACTCTCTAATCAATACCAATGGGGCGCGCCCTCAACTGTAAGGGTATTCGGGCCGACAGCGCCACACGATCTCGCGGAACAGCGCGCCGCCACCGGCCAGCGGCAGCACGACAGTCGTCACCATCGCCACGCGCGGCGTTTTCTAGCGCGGCGGCCATTTTAGTGCCCGGCCGCGGCCGAACTAGGCCGATCTCGGCCGAACTGGGCCGAACAAGGTCGAACAAGGCCGAAGCCGGCCGGAAGCGGCCGATCGCGAACGGTGCACTGTGTGGGGGGCTGACCGGCCGGGGTCCGCGGAGCACGGGCGTCGACGACATCGGGGATATGCGGCGGTGGCGGCAGTGGGGACGTCAGGGACTGCATCAACGGTATGGCGCGGTCCGACGACATCGACGGTCATCGCGACGGCTTGTTATATTCGAGTGGGGGGACCATGACGGGGGGTGTAGGGACCAGCGGTGCGGGGGGGTCTGGGGGTGCCAAGTTCAACCGGCTGTCTGAGAGGGACATGGCGAAGTTGAGGCGGGGGAACTTGGTTTGGAGCTTCGTCACCGCGGGCCAGTACGTCGAGGACCAGTCGAAGATGCATGGGGACCGAAAGTTGTGTTGCAACTTATGCGGCCACTTGTTTCAGGGAGGGGCGTCGAAGGCCGCGCGCCATTTCATGCAGTCGAAGTACTGCAAGGCTGGGGGGATGAGAGTTCTCGCGGAACTCTGGAACGGCACGGACTACACATTCGTGCCGTCCACTCCTCAGCGGGTGCAGAGGTGGATGGCGGACGAGGGGATACAGGAGACGAGAGCGCCCGCGGGTGGCCAGCGACAGCAGATGGACGACGGAGAGAGGGACGAGATTCAGGATGCCCTTGATGAGGAGGAGGGCCGTGAGGGTGGGGTCAGGGAGGGGGGGTTGCAGACGAGGCAGACAAGGCAGTCGGAGATTCTGACCTGCCAGGGGAGGAGGTGGTGATGACGTCGAGAGGCATCGGTCGAGCGGGTCCCGCTCCTAGGGCGCTGCGACCTGAGTTGGAGCGCGCGAGGAGGGAGAAGAGGCCAGTGGGGGAGGCTGACGTCGAGGTGCGAGACATGGGCAAGGAGAAGAGGGCTCAGCAGACGACGATTGATGAGATGTACGACAAGGAGAAGTTGGCCGAGTTCATAGACGCATGGCTGCAGTGGATCTACGTGAAGGGGTTGCCATTCAACGCCTTTCGTGGTCCGGAGTTCGTCAGGGTGCGGCAGGCGGCAGAGAGAGTGCCTCGCACTATCCAGTTTCGGTTTCCCTCCTACAGGGTTACAACGGGCGCTGGGATCCCTTCGCAGAGGGCGAAGGTGGCGACGATAGTGAGCGAGGTGCGCGCCGCTTTCCAGCACACCGGTGCCACCATCCTCTCCGACGGGAGGAAGTCGCGCAGCGGCAAGCCGCTCGTGAACTTCCTCGTCGGGGGCGCCAATGGCGCCCTGCTATACGCCACCGTCGCACGTGACGGGTTGGTCCGAGATACAGCGGACATCGTGTACCGTAGGTGGTGGGCCATCATCTTGTCCTTTCCTGCAAAGGACGTGATCGGCTTCTGCACAGACTCCGCCAGTAACTATACGGCGGCAGCGCGCAGATTCGCCACGGACCCGGATCCTGACATTAGGAGGATCACTTGGCTCCCCTGCTCCACCCATGTCTGCAACTTGATGTTGTCAGATATCGGGACGCGAGTGGGGTGGGTCAAGGACACCATCATCCGCGCTCGAGCGCTTGTGCAATTTATTAAATCGCACGACGCTGCTCACGCCCTGTTTAGGAAGGTGAGCCCTCTCGTTCAGCTCGTTGAGCCCGTTGAGACACGGTTCGCATCGGTTTTCCTGATGCTGATGTGTCTCAAAGGCCGACGAGACGCGTTGGAGAGCATGTTGCACGGGGATGCTTGGGTACGCATCCCGTGGGAGCGCAGGCTTGTGTCGCAGGCGCAGTGGGTGCAGCAGCAGATCCGGGACAAGGAGTTTGGGCGGTGTGTCGACTACGCCATCCTTGTCATGGCGCCAGTCCACCAGCTGTTGCGCAGGATGGATAGGGGGGGGATGATGATGTCCGTCGTTTACGAGTGGAGTCAGCATGTGCTGCGATTGATGAGGAGGGTTGACGTGCCGGCGGACATGATCGAGCCGTGTGTGTGTGAGGTTGCCATCCGCAACCTCCACATGCTAGAGCCCACACATGCCGTGGCCCACCTCCTCAACCCTCGTCGACGGTCCCTCACGTATTATGAGTCGTTACAGACGACCGCCGACGACGCCCGTGTGGTCGAGGAGTGCGACAGATTTCTCCTGGCGCAGACCGGAGGCGATTTGGTCGGCAGACTGTACAGGACCGTGAGGGACCAGATGAGGCACTTCCACTCGAGGCGAGGAGATTGGGGAGATCGGTCCCTCTCCGATGCCGAGGCGGACGATTGCAGGGGGGACCGCGAGACCAAGCGTTGTGTGGCGTGGTGGTTTGACAATGGACGTGCCCACCCGGACTTGCGCACCATCGCCGTCCATGTCATGCACTTGTGGACGTCAGCCTCTCCAGCGGAGAGGAACTGGGCTCAGCACGACCGCATCAACACGACGAGGCGCGTCAAGCTTGGGTTCGCCAAGCTTGCACAACTGGTTGAGATTGCCACCAATCTTAAACTGGCCTCGTGCGCACGGCAGGGTGGTAGGTACGTGTTGCCATGGGTTATGGGGACTGGTCGGGAGGGGACGGTTGCAGAGGACGAGGATGAGGAGGGCGACGTGGAGCCCGAGGTGTGGGGAGCGCGACCTGCTGGCAGTGTTCCCGACCAGGACATCCAGCAGCAGATTGTCGCTCTCCATGACAGCCGACCGTCCAGAGCCCATTCGGTTCAGGACGTGTTCGGCAAGAGGGTGATGGAACTGCGACCGTGATTGGAGGGTGGGGATGATGCGGACGCCGATGTGGGAGACGACGACATCGACGACTAGTGGACAGACGATGATGATGCGCCGTGAGTGGTGATGCGGCGACTGAGCGGGTGTACTTAAATTACAGTGGGGGATGTGATGGTATGGCTTCGTTCACATCAGTTATCACTGGTGATGTGTCGTTGACCGGACAGGTGAATGGCAGCAGTAGAGCCGGCAGTCGTCATGGAGGACGTTCGCACATGGAGGTTGGCGTCGACGGCTCGGGGGAGCAGGAGCCACGGGGAGGCCTTCGGCAGACAGGCAGGCGTTGGGAGGTTAGGAGCGACAACGAGGCCGAGGGGGAGGCCGAGGATGAGGAGGTGCCCATTCGCGATCGTCGCTTCTCTCCCTCCCATCATCCGATCTTTTCACAGCCCGAGGCTTAGGCGTTCGGAGAGGTTGGCGTCGATAGCAGGCAGAGACCGAACACATGACGGCGAGGATCGTGGGGGGCAGAGGACTCCTTCCGACGCCGGTATGAGGCCCCGCTCGCCGTCGGAGCTCCGCACACACGCCTTTGACGTCGGAGGACTTGGTGGGGGCTTGGGAGATTTCAATGTCGAGGGACGTCAACGTGCCTCACCGTCGGAGGTGCGCACCGACGAGGACATTGTGCGGGGCCGTGTTGAGACTGAGGAGGAGCGGCATGCCCGTTTGGACCAAGAGGAGGAGAAGCGGCTGCGGAGTTTGCAACGATGGGAGGGTCGGTCCCCGTATCTCGAGGAGCAGTGTCGGCAGAGGGATTTGGAGACAGGAGGGGGGGGCGGCTGTGACGCCGACGACTCGAGTGTCCCTGAGGAGGCAGTTCAGGGGGAGTTCGTTGATGAGGGACAGGATGCCGCCGCGGGTGGTGGAAAAGGTGGTTGACGACGCATCGACGGGGAGACCGCGGGTGATGAGGGCCAGGATGTTGCCGTGGGCGGTGGATCCCCTCGTGGAGGACGTGGCGACGGCGAGACCGCGGGTGATGAGGGACAGGGTGCTGCCGTGTGTGGCAGGGGAGAGGGTGGACCCCGTGGAGATGGGGATGTCGCGGGTGTTGGGGGAGACGATGGACCGGACGGAGATGATGACGATGACCATGGTCCCGAGGACAATACGTATAGGCTTGCCTTGGTGTTGAGGGACCCCACAGTACCTCCCTTGCGCCCTGACGACTTAGCGCACACTTTCTTTGACGTCGACGCTTTGGCGCAAGCGTTGACGGTTGACCCTTTCACACACACGGGCTGCATGAGCGGCAAGAGGCGGGTCCCTGGAAGGGAATATTCATCGTTGCCGTTCGTGGTGTAGAGCCCTCGATGGTCGGGTTCGTCGCTCAGCGGCGTGAGAGGGAGGGAGTCCGGAGCGGGTGAGGTGGGGTCCGGCGTGAGAGGGAGGGAGTCCGGAGCGGGTGAGGTGGGGTCCGACGTGAGAGGGAGGGAGTCCGGAGCGGGTGAGGTGGGGTACGACAGACGCAGCAAGGGCGGCAGAGACAGTGCAGGATCGATGCCTCCACCGCCCGCACAGCCTCCGGAGGCTGGCGTCGACGCCGAGGACCAGACGGCGGCACCCGGAGTTTCGCACAGTTGCGGTTCCCCCCCGACAGTCCGAGATGGTGTGGGTGGCGGATGGTCAGCTGTTCGTCGGGTCGGGGACCGGTTGAGGGAGGATTACAACGCTGGGAAGGGCGTCTTCGCGGGACGTACGGCAGTTCAGACGCAGGCTGCGGAGGGTGGGTCTGGACGTTCGAGCCTGCAGATGGCAGGCCTCATGCTCGGTTTGTCACGAGCGGCAACGAGGATTTCATTGGTCCTCGAGGCCGCAGGGACATCCACGGACATGCTGCAGGGACAGCAGTACACATCGGGCGGGGAGGGGTTGTTGATGCGTCCCGGGACGAGACGACAGCGCGGCCTCTCGGAGGTTGAGGCTCAACTCACGGCAGAGGTCGCCGCTGGCCAGGCAGCATTGGACGCGATTTAGAGGGAGAGATAGAGAGGGGGATTGCTGCACGGGCGGCAGAGGACGAGGACGCAGACACAGAGTCCGAGCCGATTGAGACTGCAGCCCACAGACACATGGCACAGGTGGCCGCGGCAGCCGCTGCAGCACAGGCGGCATACCACAGCGGGGCATAGGGCAGAGGTGTCGGAGGAAGAGGAGGGCGCCAGGGAGGACCACATGGTCGCCCGTCCTCCGGGAGAGGCCGTGCGCGCTCTGGAATGAGATGACGACGTCCGTGGGTTTTTTTTTTTTCATTAGTTGTTTTTTTTTGCATGGCTGGACGCTCTGTCGGCAGGGTTGTTGCATATTTATGTCGATGTTGTTCGATGGAGACGACGACAGTATGTGGACATTAGGGGGTTTTTTTTTCTTCTTTTTTTTTTCCTACTCGGTTGTACGGTAGAGACGACGGGTCCAGTTTTTGGCTTCAGCCTTGTACGTACGCATTTCCATTGAAATGCTTCGTCATATATTTGCTCTTGTTCGTGCTCCTCTCCCAACCTTGGTTTTGCATCTGAGTCGCTGTTGTTTAGTGAGTGGTTTCTGGTTTGTTGTCGTGATTGTTGCAAATTATATGCTTCTCCGATGCCACGCACCTGCATGTCATGGATGCCTCCATTATGAATGTGCTGTTAATTTCGGATGACAAATAGGGATGATGTGCTAATGAATGCGTTTTTACACAAACTTCCACCAGTCTGATGAGTGAACTCACACTATGACACACTTGTTTGTTAACATTGTTTGAAGCTTATGGTAGGCCGCACTATGATTGATTGTGAATATGTTGTGACTTTGGTATGCCAACCAGGGTCTGACCTACGATTGCCATGAATGTGTTGTTTCAAAATATGTCACGAACTGTCATCACCCTCACGAATGAAATCGACGCCTGCCTGAGGCCCTGATCTGCCTGGGGTCTGCCATCTGCAGCCCCGCCCAGCTTCGACCCGACCTGGCCGCACGGGCCGCCCCAACCAGGCCCTCATCCAACCCCCGTTGGGCCGCCCCCGCAGGGGTCAAATATTTTTATTTTGTTTTTCTAGTGTTCCAGACCCTCTTCCCTGCGACCCCGCATCGACGAACCCGCACGTGGGGGACGCACAAATTTTCGCGGCCCACCCTTCCAGGGCCATGTGCAGGACCGCCCCGTTTTTTATTTTTTTGACGCTCTGCCACTTCGAGGGGGTGCCCCCCCCCCCCCCCCCCCCAAACCCCCCCCCCCCTTCAGAAACCCCCCCCCAGATCGGCCGAGGCCGAGGCCGAAAAGACTCGGCCAGCCCGACCGCGGCCTGGGGGGTCCCGACCTAGGCCGCCAGCCGCGGCCTGGGCCGAACCCGACCACGATCAGCGTGCAACATAGAGGACTGGTTATCTCGGGTAAGATGTCCTGCATGACTTGGATCATATCCCTTTGAACTACTGCCACACCATTGGTCTTACCCTGAGGTACCACGCACATTTGAATGAGGTCCCTTAGCGTGTGCATGGTAGTCATTAGTCGGCTAGTGGGATCAATGAGAAACTGATCATAGCCAGAATATAAATCAATGAAACAATAAATGCCTCGAGGGTAAAAAAATCAGAAAGGAGATCAGCATAGGGAAGCTACTTGCGTCACGTATCATTACTTAGTTGAACTTTTGAAGGTTATGTATCCATCTAAGCTCACCCCATGGTTTCCAGAAACAAAACCAGTGGTTAGCATACGGTCCATCACCATGTTCAACAATATTAGAGACAATTTTTTTATCAAGATACTTTACCACTTCTGCCTCTTCTTTCAAGGCATACTCGGTTGGTCTGTCATTCCATGGGATATGATCAACTGTCCAAAATTTTTCCATCTTAATCATATCCACATCCAACCGCCTTCTTTCTTCATCATTAAAAGAGAATACACCAGAGAACTTTTGACAAACTTTGAATATATATTCTTTCTCTTTAGGGAAATGAACTAGTCTGAACCTGTTTTCATCATGTCAAACCTTTCCGTGGTGACTTTATTCCCCAATTTCGCAAACTCCCTTAATGCTTTAATAATTCTCCTTTCTTTTCCAGTGCCTCATCATAATATTGTTCAATGAGGACTATCAGTGGATTCTCCTTTACTCCCTTGGACTTGTATTTTTTTTTTAAACCCAGTGACTATTTTCCTCAAAAAGAATGTGTTGATGCAAACTTTAACTTCATTTTTTCACCCTTTTAATTGATTTAGTTGATACCTTATGCTTATGATGATGGGAAGTACAGATCATAAAAGTTTGTTCACGAGCAGTCTCCAGATCTTGCAAGCCAGTCTAGGATGACCCCTAATGAATGAAGAATTTGACAGTTTTCATCCTATGTAAAAATGGAGTGCCCAGGATACAATCATGGTCTAGATTTGATATCACAAATCTCAATAACTCAACTAACATCATTCCAACCCTGATGGGCAAATTGTCAATAAAACCTGTCACAAAGAGTTGTCCAACAATATTACTTAACATTTGCTTTGAGGGTCTATCAATGGTCGGGTCACAGACTTTCATAGCTCTTTGAGAGATAAGTATCATTTCTGCTTCAGAATCCACTAGGGCTCGGATTTTACCTGATTAATGTAGATAGTTAAATATTCACAGCCCATGATTGTGAACCTCATTTTACATCCTGGCAAGGTTCTGTTGACTTTACTAAGAAAGACAGATCCCAGATAGTTAACTTTCATATTTTGCTTATCAATTAATTTCATGAGTTCCTCTCTCAACTTTGACGCTAAAGTCATTGCCTCTTTGAAAGACAAAGTCACTTCTGTTTTTTCCAACATTTTTGTAATTATATCTGTAATTACAGTTTCATCTTTCAATTCACTCTTGAGGATAAAGTTTATCTTTTTCCCTTGCTCACTCTTCTTAAATTAAGGGTCTGGTTCTTCATCATCAAGAATGTCAATTAGAGTCTCCTCGATTTTTCTTCTCTTCTTTTTCTCTATCATTTATGATGTAAAGCGTTGAAGATTCCTTACTTCTCCAGTTACCTCGTTGGGTTCCATAATAAGTTCCGGTGGTAGATCACCCTCGAAAAACATCATGTTAGTTGAACAGGAGAGCTCACTAGGTAAAAATGCTACTAACATAGAAGAAGTTTGAGAAGCAAAACTCTTACCCAATGAGAGTCCGCTCAGCGAAGTCTCGTCCGATATATCTTCTAGTGTTAGAGAATGCAGAGACAATTCGGTCAGTGCAAGAGGGTCATTAGTCTTTTGTACAAACTCTTTAGGCAATTCACCAATAAAGAAGTGAACATTCACATTGGTCTTTCTCTAATTCTTTTTCTTCATCTTCTTCTCATGTTTAAGGGCAAGAAGTCGCATACCCCCAGGATGTCCGGGATCCAGTTTGTTCCATGAACTGTCATAAACATGACACATTGCATCCTTCTTTGCCACCCCATTCTTCACATCCTTCTCCAAAGGTTTACAGTAGGTGGTAGTATGACCTCCCTCACCACAGTAATAACAGACAAAACTCTTTTTTAGACGTTCATCATACTTTCTTCTCTCTCTATTCTTTTTTCCATCATTCCCTCTGTTTTTGCTTGACTTGGAAGAATCTCCTCTCTTACCATAGCCATCATCATCATCATCATCTTCATCTTTATTTTCAGCCTTCTTCTTCTCTTTTTCATCAGCAACATGGTTAGCAGACATGTAATTGGCCATAACTCGTTGCATAAGATTTTCAACACTCAAATTGTTCCCTCTGCTCATACCATTCTTGGTCTCTCAGTCTTTAGCCAATATACTGATCTGATCCAGTGACCACTTTTTGTGTGAGACCGTAGGCAGATTTCTGACTATTGCAACCATTTCATCACATCTGAGAGGGTAATGCTGAGCTTGATTGAGAACAGTCTGTCTCTCATTATTTTTAAAATTAGTCAGAAAAATATGACATTTTTTAGCCTCATTCAAATATGCGATTCTCCTAGCTATTCTGATAAAATTTTGAAGAAAAACATTTAAGGTGTTATACTTAGCTCTTCTGATGTTGAGTAGGTTATTGGTAGTAGTTGGGACAGAGTCTTTCTTAAATTCCCTCTTCATTCTCTCTTTGATTTCTTCCCATGTTGTAGCCCCTTCCATCAACTCTTGAAAAACCAACCTCGAATTAGTATCACAGTAAGATAAAAGGTGCTTAAGTCGTTGTTTGTATGTCCAACCATAACCGAGCCCAAATAATTCATACCCATCCAAGAAATAATTTACCTGAGGACCTCTGACGCATAAAATTCTCTCATCTGGCCTTTTTGCTCTTGCAATATCTTACCATTTTTTTATCGTATGAACTCTCTCGACCAGTTCTTGCATGACACCAACCATGATCTCTTTGGTAGTCCTTGCAGAAGAGCTAGGTTTCCCTCGTCCTGCCATTTAAACCATAAACTTCCCCTGATACTCTCTTATCTCTCTTCCTATCACTTTTGTCCTCCCCTTTCTTATTTTTCAATCCCTTACTCTTCTTGCAAGAGATACAGGTTCGTTTCTCTGTTCCCTTGTTTGTTCTACCCCTTGAGAGTTTTGTATATAGAGAGCGTAGGTAATAATAGACTTTGTGATGATCAAAGGCAACGCAATTCTTCTCAGTCTTACAATATAATCTTCAATCAATCTATTTCATTATCCTTACTCAATCTTTTGTTATACCCTTTCAAAGTACCCCTGATCATAAAGTATCGTGTCAGATCTATAATCTCATAGTCAAATTGCATAGCTTAGGGATCGTTATCGATTCTTCTCGCAAGAGAGACCCGTTCTCTAGAGGAGTGGTATGACACTCTCTTAGTGATTCTCACTCCCACTAGCTTCAGTAAATAGTTGATCTCAGTCTGGTCAGTGACGACTCTCAGAGTAGGGTCTACCATCCGATCAAAAAAAGGTTGCAGAAACTCGAGCTCATCCAAAGTAAAGAGACCTCTGTTTGAGATCCGAAGATTCTCTTCCGTCTTAACAACTCTACCTTCTAATACAACCCCGAAAATCAGT